TACTGGTAAGGTAGGTACCAGCCAGGATTTGAACCCCAGTCTCCTGCATCAAAGGCAGTGTTCTAACCACTACGCTATCCAGCCGCTATCCTATATATATATTTTCCCAAGCCCCTCACCACAGAGCACAATCAAGGAAACAAAAATTCTACAAACTACCATAAGGTGTTTTCTTTCAAGGATTGGTGTGAAGTACAGAATCTTGGAAAGTGCCATAGGAACTGCCAGCTATCATTTATTAATGAGTTTGCTAAGAGAGAGTTTCTTTGTACATTTTGAATCTTTTTTCCTGATTTTTTTTTGGGGGGGGCATCTGGAGCTAGCTGCTATTTATTAGAGGAGCTGCTCATGAACTCTTCTTCACTCCACTGGTTGTTTAGGGCCGACATTCTCTCCCCACAGCCTCTCACACCATGGCAGTTTCCAGGCATGTAAAAGCTGACAGGCTTTCCTGACTTCTGTTGGTGGCTCTGTCAGATGATTCACAGGGGACAGGAACAGCCTGGTGCCTCTTGGCAAACATGGACTAGCCCAGGCACACCCTTCTTTTCAGGCCCTGGACATTGTCCTCAGCTGCCATTCTTCCCCTCCTCCCCTCATGGAGAAAGAGAGGCAGTCTGGTCTAGTGGTTCAGGCTCCAGGCTAGAAAGCAGGACACTGGGAGTTCCAGTCCCACCTTAGGCGTGAAAGCCGGTTGGGTGACTTGGGTCGGTCACGCTCTCTCAGCCCAGCTCAGCTCACCTCACAGGGCTGTTGTGGTGGGGAAAATAGGAGGAGGAAGAAGTATTTGGTAGGTTCGCCACCTTGAGTTGTAAAATAATAAAATGCGAGATAAAAAATCTAAAAAAAAAAGAGACAAGCTGGGCCAGCTGCCAGCCCAGCTCTACGTGATGGTTTCCCACAGCCTATTAAGCAGCTGTTTAATAGACTGGGGAGCTGCCCAGTAAAGCAGGAGGACAACTCCCAGTTTATCATACAACTTCCCCAGCTTGCCAAATGGCCAAGTGAAGGTTTAGCAGCTGCTCGGGTTTGCTCTCTTGCTTTAATGAGCATCTCCCCCATTTTGATAGGTGCATTCTCCTGTTCTGATGTGCATGGTAAAGCAGGGGAGGAGAGTCAGCCATCTTTCAAAACTTGGCATCTCCCCAAGCCCCCACCCCACCCCCACATCACTGTCCTGACTGGCAGATGATTTCCTTCTAGCAGGTGACATTCAGAATGCAGAAGGGCAGCAAAGCCAGGAGGTTTTGCCACTCGTTTTGCTCCACGCACTCTGTACATTCAGAATCCAGAAGGAACCATGCAGCTAAAAGCCAAAACAGAAGCAATGCTTAAAGATACGGATTTGCAAGCATGACCACACATTTTCTGCCAGTAAAATTTTCTGCCAAGCCAAAGATGGGTGGATAGCACTTTAGCTCAGAGTGGGGAAAGACCTACTCTCCTGAGTAAAACAGATCAATGGAGATAAGATGCCACTGTTTAATATATGATCATTGTAAATCCTCACTGAGAGTACATTTTGGTTCCTCCTTTAAAATAGTACTTAGTAAAGACATAAACACACAATCTCTCACTCTCTCCAGTCTTGATTAAACGAATACAAATAAATACAAAAATCTATAATTAAAATCTAGTGAGAATGTTTGTTGCATGCCTTCAGGTCAGTCTTGATTCCTGGTGACTGCCTGGAGAAGTAGAAGGGGTGAAACCCAACTTCTTCTCTCCAGATAGAGCTTCTCTTTTTTTCCTTCAACTCTTTTTTAGACATGTAGTCTTCAATTCCCAGAATTCCCCAGCCAGCCTGCTTTAAGATATGTGGACTTCAACTCCCAGAATTCCCCAGCCAGCATGCTGGCTAGGGAATT